TTTACTCACTGAGAAATACCCAAACGTCTGTTTCTCACATAGAAATACCCAAACGTCTGTTTCTCACATGAGCGATTTTTTCATTTAGCCTGTGAGTGTAGGCCTATACTTTAGCCTTTTACAGTTTTAAAAGATTATATCTTATCTGTATGACCAACAATTACGGAGTAGGCTATAAATGTTTGTTGTAGGCTTATTTGGAAATTACCATAACTTGTAGTATTTCATCCTTAGGCTACAGACATTAGCCCCACTTACGTTTTGCTAAATGTCCCTTTGCGCCACCTGGCGGTCGTTTCGCGAACGACTTTGAAATGCGACCGGTTTATTTTGACCGCGGTGGATTATGAAGGTAGATTTGTGTCTTTATTATTCAATCAAAATAAAGGTTGTTTCAATCAAAAAAAATATGTTCAATTAAAAAAACCTTCACTTCAATGAAAAAAAAACTTTTCAATCAAAGAAAAAGTATTTGAATCCAAAAATATATTTGAGACTCAAAAAAATACATTTGAACACTGCTTTTCTTTGATTGAAAATGTTTTCTTTGATAGAAGTCCGTTTTTTTTTGTTTAAAGCAACCTTTTTAATTAAAGTAACATTGTTTTTTGATTGGACCATATAATGGGTAGGACATTTGTGTCTTTATCATTCAATCAAAAAAGAAGTTGCTTCAAACAAACAAATAACAGAATCAATAAAAAAGTCACTTCAATGAAAAGATAAACATTTTCAAATAAAGAAAATCGTTTTTGAATGCAAATAAAATATTTGAGACTCCAAAAATTGCATTTGAACATTTTTTTTTTTGATTGAAAACGTTCTCTTTGATTGAAGTAATCTTTTTTGTGTTTGGGCCATACATGGGTAGGACATTTGTGTCTTAACCCTTCAAAGTCTGAGGGGTTTTATGCCCGCCTGGCACTATGTTGATATTTTGGCTTCTGGAATGGTCAATTTTCATAGCAGAGTGAAGAGAGTCATATTTCTGGATTCTATAGACTCTCAGCTACAATGTGGATGCATTTATAATACACTTCTTAAGACACTTGTATGTCTTCTGCTGTGATATATCACCAAAAAATACAAAAACAAAAGTTCAATTTTTTTGTTTTTATTATAGAAAAATATTAAACCATAGATGAATAAGGGATTTTACAACAAATATTGATTCGTCAAAGGCTTTAGAAAAAAAATATAAAAAAATGGGTGAAAAAATATAAAGAAACAAATGAACGGTTTACATTTTTGTGACTGTAGTCACCATACTTTTTTTGTGTGTGAAAAACACAGCAATTATAAGAAAATGTAAAGGGAACACAAATGTTAATTTTGAATTGAATATTCTCTCAATTTACCAAACACATCCAAAAACAACCTCTAGATGTCACTGTGCACTGCATTTGCACATCAGTCCATCCAGGGCGCGGGCGAGTTCAGAGTCCTGGGTTGCGCAATGATGCAATCGGCTGTTCTGGGGCTGTTCTAAAACACACAATGTGGTAAATAAAGATTAGCTATTCATCATCATGTGTGTATTTATACATCCAAGTCATAGAACTTCTAACTACAATAATCTAACTATTATTACAGGAGCGTTCATCATTACGCACCGAGTATACATGTCTTCCAAACCCCCTCCTATGTAGACCTCCTATACAGGCCTTATCTGCACCATTATTTCTGAAAAGCTACAATAAAATTTCCCTAAAAAAACATTACAATAAAATAGACAAGCAATGTAAACGAAATAGCTTGCAAATGAAGAGGGACTAGCAGCTACATGCGGCCAAAACACGCACATTACTTGATGGCGCACATTATTTGATTAGCCTACTGCTCCGTAATTTCTGAAAAGCTAAAATAATTTTGCTAAAAAAAACTGATACAATATATATTAGAAAATACATTATAATATTGCATTCATTACTTACTCCTCAAATGGATCGATTCCGCCCAGAACTTGATCATCTTCATCCGAATCAAATCGATCTGGATCAGATCCGTTCTGACTCTCATCGCTCTCGGCAAAAATCATTTCAGCAGTGAATCTTCGTTTGGCCATGTTTTCTTTGAAAAGAATCTAGTACAAATACGTGTATTTCCAAACGTTTTGTGTCCAAACACCGTTGCGAATCCCACGTGGGATTGATTCCAAACCCCTCCCCTTTTTTACGTTCCTGAAAACGTCATTTTTTGTTTTTGGTCTGTGATTGGTTCACACAGAGGTCTGTCATTGGTTCACACACATGTCTGTCATTGGTTCACACACAGATCTGTCATTGGTTCACACACACACACACACCCACAACAGATCTTTATAACACTAGATGGGATTAAGTACAATTTCTCCGTTTTGCGGAAAAATGCTATAGATTTGCACTCAAATACGGAAGGCTTATCATTCGCGGAAGTCAACAAAGTCAGGGTCATTTTACGCAGACGAATGTCAGCTTTTTAATAAAAAAAAAAGTAAGTTAATACCTTGATCCATTCCGAAGTTATTAATAGATTTGTAAGGGGAGTGCATCTTGACGCTCTAGAGCGTCAATCGACTTTGGAGGGTTAATCATTCAATTCCAAAAAAGTTGTTTCAATCAAAAAAATATATTTTCAATCAAAGAAAAGACTGTTCAAATGCAAAAAAAAAAAAAAAAAAAAAAAAAAATTACCCCGTGAATAAAAAGGGGAATTAAAGAAAATGTGTTTTTTCAATGTTTTGTTTTTGAATTTTAAGTGAAAAAAAATTTAGAAGTTCAAATTGTTTTGATTGAATCTTTTTTTTTTTTTTTTTGAAGTGCAAAAAGTTTTGAAGTTCAATTTTTTTTGATTGAATCATTTTGAAACAAACGCTCCGCAGTGGGCGGGTGCTTCTCTATTGGTCAGACATGTTTGATTGACAAGTGTCTACACCAACGACATCTTTCTGACAATGAAGTCATGTTCGCGCGCCACTCGCCAGCAAGCAGCTTTTTGCCAGCAAGTGGAGGGAGCAGCCGTGAAGTTGTCGGTAAGTAGATAAAACAGGTTTAAAATAATGGGTGTCATGTTATTAGCCTAGTCTGTTGATATTTACATTAAATTGTAAGCTTACTAACTTAGTTCACGTTTTGTGATGGTGTTAGGTTAGATATCTAAATCTATTCAGACAGGATAGCAAAGTGCGCGAACGGCTAGTTGATAACGTTCGCCGATGCGCTCGGTGAGTCCATCTCTATATGATTTCGCATCTACCACGGGGTTTTTTCTGTTTTTTAGTGTTACAATGTGTTCATTAACAGTGCAATCCATGCCGTTGTTTACATCCGAGTGCCTCCATAATGGCCGCTCATCCGGGTTACCACCGAGAATGTGACGTCGCTGCGTCCCCGTGTCGCTGAAGTGGCAAATATTGCGCGTGCATGTTGCTAACTCGCAACCATAAAAGCTCGCAACAGCTGCGCTTTCACTACAGGTTAACTACGGAAACTGTGGTAGCTCAAACAAGTCGATCTACTCTTTTTGAGCTAGTGTGCAGTGTGCACTGACTGCACTCATTAGACAAACTGATATCAGTTTATGGATGGATGGATGGATAGAATTAATGCACACACATAGACAAAGAAATAAATAACAGATTGTTTAACTTGATGTATGATTGTGTATTTATTGTCATTTTCAGCAATAGACAGCTAAATACTAAACATGGAACAGATTATTCAATTACTGAAAATAATCATGACCACAACTGCGTACATCACATGGTTTGAGGGTGCTGGGTGCAAGATTGACTATAAACCAAAATTACAAATAATTGGAACACTCATTTGATCAAGGCTCACACATAGATCTGTAGCTTCAGGAAAATGCTTCTTTAGTTGAAAGTCCTTCTGACAACAACTAATCTTGTTTGTATTCATTTATTTAGTTTTCTAATATCATATAGCATTGTCCTGTGTCAACCAATCACAAGTCTTGCCTTATTCTGTGTTCTCTTCTTTCCTCTATAGCATAGTCTTTTTGTTTTCACGATTACCTTGGCTGACACACACGTCAAGTCATGTAAGTTAACTGATTTTCATTCTATCAGGATTCTTTTTGGCCACTCAGCCATATACATGAATTTTAAAAAAGCTGCGTTAAAATATTGCTTCTCTTGTTCTGCTAATTTTAATTTGCAGGCATCCAATGGCACAACAGCTGCTACTGAGGTTAAAAGATAGATTGATTTCTGTCATCAATAGAGTACCTATTGATTTTGAGTACCTCCTATTTGTCTCCACCCAAGAGTTGCAGTTTATTCAAGCTGGCACACAATACATGGATATTCCTGCAGAGTTGGTGGATGGTCTGCAAGAGTTGATTTCAGTGCTCAGGTCACATCTGTCACAGAATACAGTTCCTCCTCTATTTAGTGATGTAGCCACCGTTTGTTGGAGTGGGAATGTAGGACGGCCAGAACTTCAAATGAGTTGTGACACACTACAGACATTGCTGGATACCTCTTTACCCCTAGTTCATTTAGCAGAAATGCATGGCATTTCAAGGTCAACTCTTTACAGAAGAATGAAGGACCATAACATTTCAGTGAGGGCATGCTATTCTTTAATTTCTGATGACGAATTAGACCAGAAAGTCAGAGCCATTAAGGGAAGGATGCCGCATGCGGGCTACAGAATGGTCAAAGGAAATCTCCAAGCAATGGGCCTTCGTCTTCAATGGAAAAGAGTGAGGCTGTCTTTGCAACGTGTAGATGGTGCTGGTATCATTTCCAGGATGATTCAGCTTCGTTGCATTGCTCGACGACGGTACTCTGTTCCTGCTCCCCTGTCTCTCGTCCACATTGATACAAATCATAAATTGATAAGGTAAATGAACGTCTTATCTGGCAGAACTTATTTTACATTTGTATGATGTTGCTTGTTGACCAATGCACTGTGTTGTATGATGTGGGAGTTCTACATAAGCCTGTAATAAACAATGAATAATATATTTTTTTCAAATCCATTTTTTTAAAGGTATAACATTGTCGTCTTTGGAGGTGTAGATGGATTCTCCAGGAAGGTAAATGTTTTCTATTCATTCACAAGGTATTTACCCTCATTAATAAGTTCACAACATACATGGTACGCATCTACCTCTTTCATAGATTTTGTATCTGGACACAGCAGCAAACAACAAAGCATCAACTGCTTTTGGATTCTTCATGGAGAGTGTTCAGAGAAATGGATGGCCCTCAAGGTATATATTTAATTGCAGGAGAAATAAAAAAATGAGGTGCTGCTGATTATGAAGTTATGTCATATATGGGGGGAAAAGCATTTGCTTTTCTTGCAGAGTGAGAGCTGATCAAGGGGTGGAAAATGTCGACATTGCCAGGTGTATGTTTACTGTCCGAGGAACAGGCCGTGGAAGCTTTATAGCAGGCAAAAGTGTCCATAACCAGAGGTAACAAAATGAACTTGTCAACATCTACTTTTTTGATAATCCTACTCATTCTGGTGGAGTAAGCAATACTCTGCTTTTGTGCAACAAAAGACCATTTTTTTATAGCAGCTGCTTTGACAGAGCTGAAGGTAAACTATTATTTTATTAATAAGACTGACAAGAAGCATTAATGACATTATGTTTGTGTTGTTTTGTTGGTCAATTATGTCAGTCTGACCGGATGTGGGTTTATCCTCTGTCAAGATGGCTTCTTTCCAACATGCTCCATGGCATGCTGGTTATAGTTGGCAGTCACAGCTTATATTGGACAGTGTACACACCTTGGCACTGATTGTAGTTTGCTGTCTCCTATACTCTCCACTCCGGATTGAAATGTCCTGGTGTGAACTACGGCTGCCACTTCTGATTATTTTGATAATCGACTAGTCATCAGTTATTCTGGTGAGTAGTCGATTAATGAGATCAGATATAAATTGAAGCATATTCACAGCACCACTCAAAAGTGTGGACACTTACTCATTGAATCAGATGGAAAAATGATTATTCTCGTATGTGTGTGTTTTTATATAAGTGTCAGCATACAATTCAATAAAGCTGACCAGACAGAAAGGCAGACAAGGCAGCAGAATGTACAGAGGCAATCTTGTGAGGAAAAACAAAGCTTAAAAACAATAAACAAGTAGTCAATTATTAAAATAATTGCCAACTATTTTGATAGTCAACATAATGACGATTAATTTACTAATCAAGGCAGACCTGGTGTGAACTAACAAACGCACACCGGCTTAAAAGTGGATGCATCACTTAAAAACCATGAATTCCATTTGCTTATGAAAAGACAACACCATTGTCTCTTTTTCTAACCATGGTCTGTCGGCCTCTTTTCAGAGTGGAACGCTTATGGAGAGATGTTTGGAGTTGTGTAACATCAAACTACTACAATGCACTACACAGCTTAGAGGAAGACGGCTTCATTGACCTGTCTAATGAGATCCACCTTTTCTGTGTGCAATATGTGTTCATACCTCGTCTGCGGTCAGATCTACAGCATTTCATAGACAGTTGGAACAACCATCCGATCAGCACAGAGGCAAACCTTACACCTCAACAGATGTGGACCATTGGAATGCTTCAAGCACCTGTGCCTGAGCCAAACTATGCAGAGGTGGGCATGCAATAATTGATTGGCATGACAGTTTTTTCCTCAATAACTTTGTCATCATTAATTTGTTTGTTGGCTTGTGCAGCTTCAGCACATTGAACATCAGGAGGAGGTATCTGAAGACACTGACCATGGGGTTGTTGTTCCTGATACTCCATCCCCCCTGTCTGCAGAGAATCTTGCTCTGCTGCAACATGAAGTGAATCCTAACTCTGACTCCTTATCCTTTGGCCGGGACATATATCTGCGTGCTCTTCATTTTGCAATGAGTGAGTGATGCTCCACACTTTTAGGTGCTTCATGATTATAGCAAACATGTTTTGAAAAAAAATTATAATAATAATACATGGCAAATTATTTCAACCGATAAATCGATTTATTGCATAATAAATTAAAATGAACGTAACAATTTTTCTGGCCTCAATATATTTCCATGTGCTTGCGTGTATTTGTTTTACTCGTCTCTCACCTCCAAAGATGGTGGATGACAAGAGGGTTCACTCTGTGCACCGGTCTCACAGGGTTCCTGCAGATCCATAGAAACTCTTAAAAGGCATTGAATTCTTCAATATAAAACTAAGGCCTTGATTGATATTAAAATGTCTTAACTCAGTCTTTCAAAGGTCTTAAAATTGTTAACATATCATAAATAGGGTTTTATTTTCTAATCCATCTCAAATATTAAAATAATTAAAGTAATTTTTTAGAATAATTTACTGAACGGCTTGCTGTAACGTCTTGTGCTATCCCGATTGCAGAAACCCTAGTGTTTCTGGCCAGAAAACCTTGCAACTTTCCATGTCTCCGACCCGGTGGCAATCTCACGGCTCTGTTCTTGTTCTCGCAGAAAAACAAACAGCTTTATGGCAGCCCAATGTAAGTCCATTGGCATTATTAACAGTGTTACCAAGTTTGCTTTTTATAAGCGATGGCTGGCTTGTTTTTTATTAAGTCACTTATAAATGTAAGTGCTTGTTTTAGACCTTAAAGTCTCTTATTTGGGCAACAAACTAGCCACTAGCAGGGTTCTCACCAGGATTTTTTTCCTGTGTAACTGTTGACAGCTGGCGGGGATGCGAGTGTTGGTGCGTCGGGAGGATGGTGCGTGCGCTAGTGTGTTGATCCGTTCTATGGATGTATTCCCAAATTAACTGAACTGTCATGTCTTTTACAAGTGATTTCACATATTAAAGCAATGTTATAATAGATAGTGGGTTCTGCAAGAATTCACCTTGGTTAATTGGCTAGATGCCTGCAAAAAAGTGAAAAAATGACTAACTACCTGAAATGTGCACAGCTTCTAAAAAGTTTCAAGCCAACTCAGAAGTGGTTCCACATCTAGTAGGAAACTCTATGGTGTACAGACATGCTGTAGATAGTTTCATGCTTCAGTCATAAAATGCAAAGTGCCTTATATGTGAGCTTATCTGCCACGCTCTTACTTTTTACAAATTACTTGAAATACATTTGAAACATTTTTCTCAAAGCATTCTAAAAAAACTAACCCAACCTTTGTATGTTGATGCTCACAGCCCATGTGTAAATGGACAGAGACTACTCAGACACCACTCAGCTTTGAATGAAGGTAACTAACACATGGTTTCTCATATACACCTTAAAATGTTAAACTACAGGCAGTTAAGTATTTTCTGTCAAAGTCCAAAATTTAACATATGTGTTCTGCTTGACAGCCATAACACGCCTGGGGCTTCCTGATGGATAACTACGTCACCTTACTGATTACCCCCTGGGGCTTGCTCTTTGTCCATAACTCCACCATTGTCTGGTCCCTGCCTTCCTGTTAACACTTCCTTTACTCACTGAGTGAGGTCTTAAAGTAAAGGCAGTAAAATACAATGTTGTAACATGGCATGACCCTGTATAGTAAATTTGAAAATACAACTATATATGAAATGTTATCGCTTGTGTGCATTGCTGTTTTATAAGTGAACTTTTGAAATGTGAAGATATTGGTTGTTCATATTATTTTTAAATGGTAATTTTTGTTCTACAATAAATAAGTGCAAGGATCTTTAAATCCTAAAATGATAACTAGTGTTGATCTTTCATTTCTATATTGTGATGTTCCCCCAAGCCAAGATGTATTTGTTATAAATATGAAAGATAATAGAGGACTGTGTGGAATGTGTGCTGTGGAGCTCTCCAAGCTACTGTTTCTGTTGCTGCTAGCTGTCCATGTGACAAAAAAAACTAATTATGATTAAATGCTAATTAGAACATTTAAAAAAAAACAATCTCTGGGACCGGGTTGTTTTTCAGAAAAACCTGCATTGACAATAAAATATTTTATAATAAATTACCATATAAATATGTAATTATATAGCAGGGGTGGGGTGAATAAAAGGTGACAGCACAACTATTAGGTTATGCCGAACATTCATTTTAAAGATTTTTTTCTTTAAGTAGGGATAGCAATTTGTAGGTCAATACATAAACATTACTGTCCGTCTCCACAAAGCTTTTCAAAGTTCAGAATAAAAATAATTTCTCGCAGAACAGACCTGCTGTCAGTTATACATGGAATTGCGTCCAAACTGGATTACAAAGTCTTACTGCTGAGTTTGGGCCTAAGAAAAGTGATGACATGATCAGTTTTTTGAATACATTATGTATGGTTAGCTTCAAAGTAAAGATGTTTTGTATAGTTGTAAAACAAACAAGCATAATTAATATATTATGAATGAAACATCAATATCCAATTGTAGAGCGGCGTGTTATGACATGATTTGCCAAAGACTAATAATAGAAGAGAGTTCACTCGTCTGTGTGTTGTTGATTCGGCGGAAAGCCGCACTGAATGTGTACAAACTTTGTACACATTCAGTGCGGCTTTCCGCCGAATCAACACATAGACGAGTGAACTCTCTTCTATTATTAGTCTTTGGCAAATCATAATAACTGTACTACAAAGTGTTTTCAAGTACATTTTCATTCAAAGTGAATGATCTGAGGGCAAAACGGCCACTTTTTCTAAGGGGTCGCAGCACCACAGTCAGCACTCCTATTTACCACGGCGTTGCACGAAGGGAAAATTTGATTAACAAAGTGTTTGCTGAGTAAAGCTTTGAATGTCATATTTGTGGGGAGTGTTGGCCTAGTGGTTAGAGCAGCGCGCTTGCACCCTGAGAAGGATGCAAGTACCCGGTTTGATCCAAACTGCCTGCACTCTGGCTCCCTAAGCAAGACCCTTAAACCCAGATTGCTCCCCAGGTGTCGCACAGTGGCAGCCCACTGCTCCCTGAGGGGATGGGTTAAGATGCAGAAGTGAATTTCTCCATTGTGAGATCAACATGTTCATTGTCTTTTATATATTCACACGTCTCTAAACACTAAAAAAAAAAAAAAAAAAAAACAGAATCAGAGGCATCAGCCCCTCATATACTGAAGAGAACTTACTCTTTAATTCAACATTATTTCACTGTTGGGGCAAAATACAGAATAATAATGACTTAACAGTAGAACCTGAATCGCCCGGCTGCCATATAGGAACATTTGAATATTCTAATCAATTAAGTTTGGGACCTGCTTGAGTGTAAAAACCCTGTATGAATACCAATGTTTAAAACAGATTTTCATATGACAATAAAATACATTATCATCATAGGATCAAATTCTAATAATAATAATAATTAACAATTATTATAGTAACAAACGACTATAACTTCAACACAATTTGTAACACCTCTGACACTTTCTGGAGCGGTCAACACTTAATAGCAAATGCCATACCCATCCTTATCTGGGAAACAAGCAGAAATGCCAAAAAAGGAAATGTTTTTCAATTTTGCTTTGTATAAATTTGAGACTAGTGTATAACACTCATGAGACAAAACAGCTTTTGAGCATGTTGCCAATTGAAATGATCCTGTCATGTTAAATTTTTCTTCAGAGGAGGAGGGGGTGTCAATGCTGGTATACCATTAATTGTACAGTATATCTCAGAACCTTTCTATATGCAAGACCATGTTAGCAAATATTATGAAAAAAAAAATACTTGGTTGCAAGAAAATAACAGAACACCCAGCAGACAACATGAGACATTTTGCAGTAGTGTTGATTACTAATAGTTTAAGAGGATCAGGGTCGAACTAAAATTAACTAACTTAACACATCAGCTTTAGTAAAACAAAAGTTAAACCCTATCAAACCTGGAACCATATCGAATTGCAATTTCAAGGTTGGAGTTAAATGCTTCGCTGTCTTTCAGATGGACTGTGGGAAATGTTATTGTGGTGCTGCATGCACTCACAACAGGGTAGCACACTGTGTGCTTTGGCATGCGTTCAAGACAACTGTGATCAAAAAGAACTTTAATTTTAAAATTCTGCCTTTCTGAAACCAGCAGGTGTCTGTGAGCCTGCCCCGTCAGCCATTGCATCACTCGAGGAACAGAGAGAGGTGATCCATTGTCTTCTTCCTCAGGCTGACTGGCATCCCCATCTTTAGATATACATAGTCAAATGCAAGAAAATTGTGAAAAAATTCAAAATTCACTTCATTTTTCATTCAAAACAACTGAGCTGCATCAATGTTATCCATCAGAGAAATTACCAAAAGCGAGGGGAGCTGCACTGGTAGAAGCACATACCTATATGATAGTGACACTCCCAGTTAGGGATGTTAACCGATGACCGTTTGACCGATGGTTGACCGTATCAACGTTAACCGATCAAAGTTGTCAGTAGTCGGTAAAAAAACAAACAAAAAAAAACATTTGACGCGAGGTCACAGCGTTTGGGTTCGCGTGCTCATAATATTTGCGAAAACACTCGAGGTTAGAACGAGGGCAGACGACAGGATGAAGCGTGCAAAGAAAATAGTGTGTAGGACCATTTCACCTAAAAGAATGACACAGATATAAGTTGCTGGGCTTAGATTTGGAAATACATTACATTTACATTTCAGTGGTAACAGATAGAGTGATCAATGATCATCATCTTTCTTTATTATTGTTAGCACTAACGTTAACGTTACCTCAAACTAAAGCGGCGTCTCCTCGGAGCTGTCATTTTCTTAACTGAGCCACGGCAATGTTTCAAATGAGCTTCTAACGCCTTTATTTTCAACGCGATCACATTGTACCCAAACCATTTCGAAACTAAAAAGGAGCCTCCGATTACATACAAGCGCCTTGGCGCCGCGTTTGTGGGGGGTCGCGCACACCGGAGTGACCGGATGAGAAGCGCTGCGCCGCGCCACGTAGGACAACAGGTATCCCACACCGGACGCGCACTTTCTCATCAGTATATGGCCAGCAATGTTGTTTTGTTTAATGACATGAAATGAAGATAATGTCTGTTCTATGTTATGATTGTAATGTCAATTAAATACAATCGTTGCTGAGTCTGCAGTCTGAAAACTTTACCTCAGAGCATCCGTTAACTGCATGAATTGAGAATCTCAGCTGAAAATCCAATAACATCAGCGATTGTCATTCAAGCAGCTGATTTCTGTAAATGAATGCAAAACTACATGTATATTGCAGCATAGGGCGCAGTCAGGATACATTAGCAACGATTTGAGACAAAAATAATTTAAATTTTATATAAAACTATGTAAATGGCGATCTGTGGCGCAGCAGGATTTTGAACACGGTCCTGAGCCGTTGCTGGGCGCCGCGGACAGATGCCGAATCTCGTTCGGTGTGTGTACACTTCTAGAGAATAATGTGTTAAAGATGTGGCGCTGAGCTTCTCGTCCGGTGTGCGACCCCCTGGACTCGTGTTTCGCGCTGTATTGGGATTTTAAAAAGTGACGGCGCTGGGGCTGTGTGTATGTGTGTGTGCGCATATTTTAAACCAATCGGTTAACCGGTTTTAACCGGCTAATGAGGCTCGGTGGTCGGTCAAGAACATTTTTAGTTTTCGCCATCCCTACTCCCAGTATGTGTTTTACTTGCACTTGACCTTAAAGGGTTGGTTCTGTTTTTTTGACATGAAGTTGTATGATTTCATATCACGAGGCGCTGCCGCCTGTCAGCTGTTGCACTTTTTTTTGTGGGTCAAGCCAATGTAACATGTCTGACTACGAAACCACTGATGATGAAATTCCTTTTTTGACGTACATTTGTGGCACTGATCAAAGGGATTTAGTATTTCAAAAAATAAGCAGGATCTCGACTGATCTTGACAAAAACCAAAACGTTTTTGAAACCCCACCAGTACGAGACTGAGCCCAAGACAGAGACATCACATTCCGAGGGAGAGGCCGGCAAAAAACTGCCTGGAGACCTCCATCCATGCTGGACACTAGCTGGGAGCTATTTTTTAACAATGAAAATTAGACAAATCTAAGCTAACAGGACAAAGTTGGGGCCAGGTCACTGTTGATGCACTAATGCTGCTGGTGAGGAAGTCATACAGATTTATGTCAAAAAAATTCAACCTATCCTTTCAAATCAGCTGCTGCAGACAGAGTACCTCTGCTATTTACATGTAAAAATATACTGCCAATACATACCCTCCAGGGCGAGAAGGAAATCTTGAAAGAACTCCAGTATCTGTGCCTCTGTCTTGTGTTTTAGCGATCCAGTATCACTCATCACTGGAGCCAGGCTGGAGATGATGTAATGTGAATCAACCTGAAACAATAAAGTACATTGGGCTGGTTCATTTGGATTGCATCTTATAAGTAAAGACAGACAAAAGCATATCCAAAACAAAATATATTTAGCACAGAAACCAGTATGAGATGTGCTATTTAAATTGGAATCTAATCCTAAAATGTCACAAGTCGTTAGCTATCATTTGTCGTTAGATCACGAGTAAAATAGTGGGGTGATGAAATAATGAACCACTTTAAACTCAACAGTAGAGTTATCATAGGTCAGAAGGCCAATAAAAATCTAAAAAAAAAAGCCCACTCCATTAATTGTCAAAGGAGGGGGACAAGGCAACACAGAAAGCCAGCTCAAAGCGAGGGGTGTGAGACCTACAGGTTTTGGACTTTCATGTTTCTATTCTGCCCTACGACAGACTGGCGACCTGTCCAGGGTGTACCCCGCCTCTCGCCCAGTGAATGCTGGAGATAGGCAACAGCGACCCCCGCTACTCCATTGCACTTTGTGCTTTAACTTTGCTATTTAAATAAAGTTCCCTTACCTTAGGCTCGTGAGCAAGACATAGTCTGAAAAGCATTCATGTGGCATACGTCTTTGCTTTATGAGCACCCGTCTTGTGTATTTTACCTTGTCATCATCCCCAATCACAAAAAGATCCCGACATTCCTTGGGTTTCCTTTGCATAACTGACAGCAGTTGGTAGAGTTCAAGGCCTTCTCGCAGTTGTTGAAGCATTGGTGTACGCTTCGTGGTGGCATGTAGCAAAACAGCTCTAACAAAAACAAGATAGACATTGGACATTGAGTGCTTATTTTACAGCAGAATATTTTGAAAACATTACTGACTCCCAGTGTTTGGCTTCAAAAGTTTGTACGCAATGTTTAAGCACAGATTTGTGTGTAGCACGATTTGTGAATGAGGCCCAGTGACCTTAACTCTTCATCTGTAGACCCAAGCTTGTTCGCTACACCTTGGTAAAAATCCATGATACATTTGGTGAGCTATGGAAAAACAATGCATATACCTTACAATACTGTCTTGATGCTCCAATGTGATGGGGCCAGTGTATCCACAGTTGAGGATTTCCTCTGTGTACTGTGTCACATCAGTTGCATTTTCAATCTAAAAGCATATTTTACAAACATAATTTAAAAAATATATATTTTTCACACAACACTTTCATAATAGAAAGGATATGTGCTTGAGACTTAAACACACCTTTTCGATTAATGTGGACAACTCTGCATCATACACGTTTTCTTTTGTGATGTCCTTCAGTGTCCCAGTCACCAAATACTGGTAACACCACTCTTGAAGAAAGCGTGGAGGCGGCCCACCTTGGCCTAGGCTCACTGCAAATACTTCCCCAGCAACTCTGTACATAAGAGGGGGAAATAAAAATGTAATGTTATGCCAAAATTATGAATCGACCTACTTTTTTCATTCTGGCCATTCCCATCAATATGTTTCCAAGAGAAAGGTTTTTGTTGAAAATGCTGCCATGTGAGTATAATATTCCTCAAGTAACAGTTTGCCATCCAGGCCAACATCCTCTGTTTACCCCATGTAGTGAAGACTGAGGGAATATATTTTAAATATGAAAGCGGATATTTAAGCTAATTGTGATTAAATTATCAAGACATCTCAAAGATCACATTGCTCAGACTAAAACCACCTTGTGAGATTACATGGACCTTAACCTTTAAATTCAAAAATCTTAGTTCAGAGTCCAACAGGAGCTTCTGGCCACATTTAATGAAATTCTGTCAAGCTGTTTGTCCTGAGATATCAAGTTACCAAGAATAGAATATACTACAAAAGTTTTGCTTGTGTTGTAGGAACTCTCAGTTTACATCACTTTGGATCCCAGTGAGTAGTTGGACACACAATAGTATACATAGTACACCATTATAGTATACACCATTGTGTAAACACATGTAAATAAGTAATACCGTTAATATGAGAAAATAAATAAAAGTGACAAACTTGAAATAGTTTTTGTCCAGGTCAGTGATTGAGTATTTTGGGATCTTCCCCTTCTCCCCTCCTTCAAAGAGTCGCATCTCTATCCCAGCAACCATCTCTGTGGACATAAACCAGAGAACAACCTCAGTCACTGGGTTTTCATTGTTGATTTCCAAGTATTACACCCTTGTAAGTGGCTTACTACTTACCAGACAGGAACTCCTTTCTTAATGCCCCGGTGTCGATGCCAGCTTCTCCTATGAAGGTGATTTTTAATTCGTTTACTGGGCCTCCAGTCTTCTGCCGCTGCCAAAGCTTTAGACCTCTCTCTAGCATGTTGTCCCTCGAGACACAAATGTTGAAGGTCTTCCCCCTCTCAACTTTTGAGTCAACCCAACGCAGAACATCTTCTTCACTGTTAAAATAAATTTTTGCATCTTAAAAATCTAAATATATTTTGGCAGATAAATCAAACTTTCAAGATCCCTTTTTTTTTGTACCATGAGATGTCATCTATTGGATTTTGTGTTGGCTCTTGCAGATCATGGGGACTTTCAGGTCCATCATCTGGGCTCCTTACAGGACTATAACTAATGAAAGTTACAATGAATTCCAACTTATCACAGCCAATCAAAATATTTGATGTTATTAAGTGACTTGACTTACCTTTCTCCACAGATACTAGCGTGGAACTCAATGTTATGGATTGGGTAGTATTTGTTACATATCGGGCATATTATCTTATTTGGCTAAATAGGAAGATGTACAGACATAATTAGTTCACGTTTTGATAGCAAACCCCCTCATCATAAATGGTAAATGCTCATTTATGGTTTCACTCAAAATCAGGAGTAATAAAAATATAAAACATTATCGCAATAAACATTATTCTGTCCTACAAAGAACCACACCTTGTTTGAAGATGGCACTACATTCACAGGAATGGGAGAATCAAGCTCCTCATCTTCTTGCTGAAAATGCAGCCATACAATGTGTCAGATAACCTGATTGGCAGTTGTCAGTCATTTATTATTCAATACAAATCAAGAGTTGCCAATTTGCAACATAAACTTTTTTAAGCCAGGTTTTCTTATAGATATGGGTATCAGGCAATCATATTTGATCTATGTATTTCTAATATTTAAATTCATCTTTCAAATAAATTTTTAAAATTTATTATGACTAAATTCATTTTATCATCATGATTTATTGTATGCCAATAACAGATACAGATGATAACAATTGGAGAAAAAATAAACACCACATGGATTTTGGGATAGTTTTGATTCACTTCTGGATTAATGACACAATTTTTCAGGAATATTCAGGGATAGTTTTGAAAACAGTTCGTTTGGAGGCATGGTGGCAACATCCATCTTTAACTTGCATTAAGTGGAAAAATCTGACAAGACAGGCATCTCACCTCTGAATCACAAAGAGTTGTCTGAGATGTCCCTTCACAATCACCTTGCACATGCAGGGCTAGCATTTGCAAAGGCATGACCATTTTGCACTGTGTGCATGTCGCCTTTGGCATGAGACTGAACTCTGGAGCATTCATTGGCAGTGGTGTCATATCAATCTTTTCTTGGAGAGGAGCAATATATAACATAAATTTCCCTCCTGCAGAGGCGCTTCTGAGAACAGAGCCAGTGTATCCCTCTGACTCTAAGGCGACAGCGGTCATTCTCCTCCTTCCATGCCCACCTGCAAATTCAAGTTTTAAGGGGATTAAAAGTAGTGCCTGCATACAAGGTATATCAACATCAGTGTGCTGAGCTAGCCAGAGTAAATTGACTAATTCATGGCATACTTGTATGTGAAAAATGTTGACATGAGGAAAAGTATTATCACCTTAATGATTATGAAATTGTGGACAAAATCCATTCAAATAGCATTATGTTAAAAGGTAGAATCCGGAGTTTTCCCCCTGAAAATAAGCGCTTGAGTCAGTCTGCAACTCCCTGACTGTGATTCGTCTTTTCTTTTTGTTTTGGTGTGTTTGGGACATTTCTGCGTGGAGATTTGTTTATTTGCCAATGTCAGAGCTAAAGGTGTAGCGATCTTTGGGCATAAACTCATTGATTGGAGCAGACACCAGATTCACTATAATTCCTCCACCCCAACCCCCCCAAAAAAAGGCAGACGCAGCAAATAAAAGGAAGTAGGCTTACCTTACTTTGCGTCGATAAAGAAAAAAAAAAAAAATAGGCAGCAAAAAGGGGTGTGGATAGTGCTTGCTCGAAAACCAGGGTCACATTAGCCAAAGGGGAGGGACACTCAGTTTAAATAGTATTTATTTAACCTTTATGTATACAAGTAAGTCCCATTGAGACACAGTCTCTTTTTCAAGGGAACCTGTTTAACTCTTTTGATGGTAGGCGGAAGCTGGAGTACCTGGAGAGAACCCGGGCATTCACGGAGAGAACATGAAAACTCCACACCAAAAGGCCACTGTTCAAACCCTCTTCCAAGCCGAGGCTCAAACCAGCGACCTTCTTGCTGTGAGGCCCCAGTGCTAACCACCAAACCACCAAGTAATATTAAACTGTTTACAAACAGAAACGGAAAAACTACAGATTCTACATTTAATCTAATGTATTGTTTAACATACCAGCTGCTTTATATAGAAGCCATCCTCCTTCAAGACTTGTCATTTTCAGGTAGGTGCTCTCCAGTAAATTGGACAACTACACCAATAAAGACAAAGCACTATATAAGTTCAGTCCATTTACCATTGACAACATTTAAAGGGTTAGTTCACCCAAAAATGAAAATTAAGTCATTAATTAATCACCCCCATGCTGTATCAACCCCGTAAGACCTTCGTTCATCTTCGGAACACAAATGAAGATATTTTTGATTAAATTTGAGAGCTGTAGCACTACCACATAGGCTTTTGACTTTGAAGAGATTTCCACGACGCATAAGCGAGAACTGAACTGAAGTAGTTGAAGGAGATCGCAATTCTCGCGCATGCGTCGTGGAAATCTCTTCCAAGTCTCGTGCAGGCCAACAAGGAAGAAAAGTAATAGTCGAATAAAGTCGTTATTTTTGTTTGTTTTTTAGCACAAAAAGTATTCTCGTCGCTTGATAAACTTATAGTTGAGCCACTGTAGTCACATGGAATATTTAAACATTTTCATCATTGACTTTCTGGGCTGTCAAGATGCAGTCCCTTAAAAGTCTATGTGGTAGTGCTACAGCTCTCAAATTTAATCAAAAATATCTTCATTTGTGTTCCGAAGATGAACGAAGGTCTTACGGGGTTGGTACAGCATGGGGGTGAGTAATTAATGACTTAATTTTCATTTTTGGGTGAACTAACCCTTTAATGTATGTATATCTGTAAAAATAGATCTTGGAGAAGGCAATGATTAAGGAGGTAGGGGGAGATAAAGAAAGATGCTTCTCCTCACCTCTTCATGGCTTAAATCTTTACTGATCAAGAGAGTCCTCTTTCCCAGCCCTGCCTGTAATAGCTCCAGTTCATCTTGTGTTGTCGGTGTTGTTTCTGCTGTGTCACTCAGTAAGAAAAAGGCCATGTCAAATCCTTTCCATGCTTTTTGTTTCTTGTTGTTTATGTGTTTTTCCACAGCTTTTCTTTTGAAAAATCCAGGGAATGATCTACAAAAAGTCAAAAAATGTGAAAGCCTTGTTTGTAAAATAGGTCTGTAATATTTTACTAAATGAGGTCACAGTAAAAATAAATAAATATGCATTGGATGGCTATCTATGTGGAATAATCTCTCACAAATCCCCTACGACCCACATGGCTGACATCAAAAATAAATGCAATATTGGTGGCTGGCTACACTACCTGGACATCTCATTTTGTACTGTTACAGGAGGAGATATGCCCTGACTCTCCTGCCTGGGTTTTTCTATTGTGCGATTGAGCACCGACAGAAAAGTCTGCGCAGCAGCAGTGGCCGCCTGCTGGTCATACTGGAATGAGAGATTAGATCCTAAATTAATCACTGTTACCAAATATAACACCATCAATCACTTTAGATGAAGCAGATAAGAGTATACAAAGACTAATAATTATTTATTCCTTTATTTAAAAAAGAAAAGATTAAAAAGTGTGAATCCAGTCAATAGCAAGGGGAGTGTAACCTGAGTATGTGATAATCGCCTGGCCATGAAGACAAGCACAAGAGATGATGTATAACAGTGTTTTCTAAATGGGAGGGAGGAAAAATGACTGTGTTGAAAATGGTTATGTCCTACAGTACAATACACCAGACATCCATATAAAGAGCAGTGTTTAAATCGGAGGTCCTCTTAAGCAACCATGAATAAAATCAACTCATCCATTCTTACCTTTACTAAGCCCGTTCCAAAACGTATAAGTGGACTTCTTTGCCTGAAAAAAAATAATTTGATCATAAAAAACAAGTCCATCTGCATCCTGGCAAGGTGTTGCAATTAAATATAGGTAGCTAGCTATCATTATGCTTAACGGTTAACTAAACAACACTACTGAGGAGTTATAACTGAGAGTGCAGCAATACCTGCA